GGCGGCATCATTTTACATGTGGCTGACTTGACAGGGTGTACTAATGGTGCTTTTATACTTTGAAAACTGACCTCCACTGGAGTAGATGAGCCCGTAAAACTAAAGGGCTTTGAAAAGTTGGGTTCTCAAATCATCTGTGGGCTGAAGGGCACTGAAAAGTGTTGGGAATCCTCCCATACCAGAGAGATGGGTAAAATCAATAACATGTATACATTCTGCCAAGCATCAACTTCTTTCCCATCGTTAACTTTGACGGGACAGGCGAGGAGGTATGGCCGCTGGAGACGGGGGTGTTGGCCGCTGTACAGCAAGCATAAGGCGACGGCTCGTGTTTACTTCGTTGTTATTTCCTAAGGGGTGTAAAGAAGTATATTCGGCAGCAGATATTACAATCGTATAAGAACCAATGCTGGACAACAACAACAACAACAACAAAAACCCAGACTCACATGACAAGCAAAGTAAGAAAGCCAGAAAAAACCTGAGTAGCAAGGGTTTTATGGAGGACTGCTTAGTTAGAAAGCCGGCGGTGCAGGAATGGAAGCAGCCGGAACCGACACATCTCAAGCTTACGCCCTCTTCAATGGCGTTTTAGCGGGAGAGGTGAGGGGGTGATTTGGAATGCATGGTGCCGATAAAATGCTTTTCCAGAAAAGCAATCAAAATCGGCTGCAAATCCACGAAATTGGCTATGCTGTTGAATTTTTCATGGCTGCGTTACTTTTAAAAATGACCACCTTTCCCATGAGGTGAATTCAATGTGAAATACTAGCGAAACGATATCGAGTCCAATGCTTCTGCTAGGAATTCAGAATACTACTTTCTTTTGAGCTGGTAATCAAAAGTTAGTAGTTTCCTACTCATCAGATTATCAAAGTCACATGAGACAGCGACGAGCCTACATGAGAGAGGGAACCTAACTGCTGGGCCTGCCAGCTGCATAACAATTGGCAATGGGTATGAGAAGGTAGCTCTCCATTCAAGCAGCTGAGTAGCTGCTGAGTAGCTGGGTAAATTGTAAGTTCAAGCTGAGTTTGAATCCTCCCAATAATTCATCAGTAAACCTCAAACAACTGATGGGACTGGAAGCCAATGGAAGGACTGAGATTCAGACTCCAACTACTAGACAAATTCGGTCTTTCAATCGCCCTGCTCAACTCGATCTGCGCTTTTTTGCTTTCGTACACACTTTCGACTACTGTCCTTGATCGTATGGATATAAGAGGTTCGGAAACTGGGCAAGAAAGAACAGTTGAGAGCTTGTCAGTTTGCTCGAAATGCGCCACGATCTTAATTTGACTTGGCATCGTGGTATCATCCCTTACTACCCTTACCCTCTTCCCTCTTCCTTTAATGGCTAATGGCTTGTGGGACCAGGCAATATTTCGATCAGTACGAGGGTCTTTTCAGATCGAGGACACCGCAAAAAGCAGGTCAGCAATCTCGTAAGAGTAGGAAGTTAGGTGGCCCCAATCGGAACTGGATGCGGAAGTCCGACTACTTGGCTTGTAGCCACTGCGCTATCTCGGGAGACGGGCGTTAGGAACGATTTTGGGTAATCGATTCGCCGCACGCGGCTGTCGCGGACCACTCATTCGCCGTTATTACAGCTCTAGCGNAGCTCAATCGATATGCGATCATTATTTTATGCATAATACTACTTTTAGTACTTTTGTTCTAGTATTTCTTACCTACTGCTGCATCCTGCTACATTCCTTCGCGCGCGACGCTCCTCTCACCGCGACGCGACCATTTCGTTCCTAACGCACCACACCCCGCTATCTCTGGTTTATCTAGTCCAGAGAAGCCATCAATAGTGCTGATCAGAAGGCTCTTCCTATTATTGGAAGCGAAAATGGTAGCGAATACAAGCTCCACGAAACTTCTTATTCTTCTAGGTTATCGTTCGTAGCCAGTATAAGCAGTACCTAGATGTAGTACCTCGGTAAAGTGCTCTTTATCGCACTGGTGACAGATTTTGAAACCGGCTTTTTTTTGACTATTATAAAATGTTGTATTTCGATATGTAACTTCCGGAGTGTAAGAAATGTTTTTCAGGTGAAGTCGGATCGTGAGGAGGCGGCAATGGCTATCTCTCTTTCGCATTCATAACTCATAAGATGTCAAAAGCGATAGACATTCAGTACCAGAAAAAAAAACAAGACAGCTTTCATGCAAGCACAAGAATTTCTGGATGATTCATCCACAAAATGAGGGATAGGACGCGGGAACGGGGAAAAAACCAGGGAAGCCAATGATAGCTCAAAATGAATTCTTTATTCAATATATGACATTTTGTTTGACAGACAAGAACATCCAGACTTTCAGGGACGAATTTGGGGACTCGGCTTTCATGTTATGCGTTCTATAGTTTTTTTTTACTGCTTTAGCTAATTGAGGTGGTTCTTGGAGTTGCCTCCAAGGTCTGTCTGTATAGAACTTATTACATTCACATAAACGCTGATATCTCTTTGTCGGTTGATATCCTATTGAATCAGTGCTTTGGTATCTTCAAAAGAAACTTTTCCAATCTGAAAGGAAGCGGTTAGCAGAGTGAAACCATTCACTCAAACATCCACCCGAAACCAGGGTTATGAGAGAGTCGGCCAGTCTGGAGATTCGATCACGCGACCAAATATCACTCAGCGGCCTCATTTTGCACTTCCGTCTCCATCCTTTGTTTACACTATATTTATTCATGTATTTGCATTGCGCAAGTGTCACTTACGATTTCGTCGAATATTGCTCATTTGCAACTACAGTACAGTAAGAAGCTGTCCTGAAAATAAAGCAGTGGCAGCTCCTACTTCAGCGGGAACTTCCTTTGTGGCGAACAAAATGCTATCAAACCTTTGTCTGGGAGCAGAATATTCCAGGCTTCTCATGGGAACCTCTTTCCATAATTAGAGAAGTTTCCGGGTTGTCTGTTTAATTTGGGAAATACGATGTTTGCCAGGATTCCATGCAACCGACCCGGCGGCCTACAGGGATCAGATTTCTCGGAAGTGTAGCCAAGATCTCAATTAAGTGAGCTACTATCTAGTATAGAAGAGAGTTTCAGCCGTGGCTTCCCGAGGGAAGGGGTGGGGGTATGGAAAACCCCCAACAAAGCCGATTCTTCAAAACTTTCTAGAATGAACCTTTTATTAGGCTAACGTTTCAGCTTCTTTGCCTTCGTCAGAGCCTGAAATGGTCCAAAACTTATGTGACTTGCTTGCTAAACAACTCAACAAAAATTTCAAGACCCTTGTTCTATGCTGTAGGCGTAAATTCAACATACCCTTTTTGCCGTTGGAGCGGGGAGAGGATAGGTGGATTCTTCACTCTGCCCTTGAAGAAGATTGTCCCACCCTTTTCGTGCAAGTTCCTGACAAGCTCTCATTGCGACAGAAAACTAGGAGAAGGCTACGACTGTTTAGGGACCCGTTGCCAATCTTGAGATAAGCCGCAAATGTGACACTCGCCATTCTTAAACTATTGGCTATCTCAGTGCCGTCACTAAACGAGGTTTTTGTTGGAGTCTCAAATTGGGAAGATCAGATTTCGCTACCCCTCTAGAAATTAAAGCCGTTTATTTACATACAATTGAACAACAACAACAACAAAAAAACAAACAAAAATGACCAACAAGAATCAAATTGCTTCACAAATCCCACCCACCTTAACCCAGTAAAACAGCGCGTATATTGTGAAGCAATCGATTTGATTGAAAATTGTTTAAGGTCTTTTTGAAACAAATTTCGGCTCATATCATGGCATTCGTAAAAGTTGGTCCATCTGGCTATTTGGCCAGTATAGAGAGGATTACTGGCCAATTCGTGGCAAGTCCATAAATGGCTAAGAATAGTAATAAAATTATAATAGTCCAGCACAATATTTGAATGCCAAATCTATGCCATACGTAGCAAACACAGGGACGGATTCTGAAATGTTGTTGTCGGTCATGGCTTGAAAGCTCGGAGCTCAGAATCGGCCATAATGTTCCCACCTTGACGTTATCCAAAACATATTCCATTTTGAGCGTATCGGTTTTGGTAAATACGGATTCTGAAATGAAGAATGGCAATAGTTCAATCCGGAACTCCTTTCTGGGTGTAAATTCGGTTTAACTGGAAAAATTTTTGTGGATGAGATGGTGGACCCTCAGAAAACTGATTTTCTTCTAGGCACATTCCCGATGGTTCTGAGGCGAACTTTTTGAGGTAAAAAGCTGGGGTGTTGGCGGACAATAGTTCATTGGAGACGAAGAAAGCGGAAAATCCTACGACTTCGCGAAAAATAGGGTTTCTTGAAAGTAGTCAACATAGACGTTGTACGAGATTACCATGACGGAACTAGCAAGGGAGGTGCAATCGGACGAGATTTCAGTCACCGCAGTTGCGTCACGAAGTGGCCGCAAA